TCAAGGCTACAAAGTTTCAATTATAGAAGTTAAATAAATCCCATATACCAGGGCCTCTGCTGGGGTCACCGAGGGTGTGGCCAGCCTGCAAACCACCACAGGCCCCTCGCCCAGGCCACTCCATGCCCCAAGGGAGCCCCCACCCTGATCCAGGATACTCTTCAGGGCAAACCAGCTGACCCTCACCCTTGCACCAGGCCTCTATCCTATCTAATAAAATAATAACACTCCAACACACAAGATGGCTGCCCCCATGTGGACACAAGATGGCCAGCAGGAGAGGGCAGTTAGGAGGGATTGGGTCTGCAAGGGAGGGCAATTGTGGGTGATTAGGCCAGCATGGGAAGGCAGTTAGGGGTGACCAAGCCAGCAGAGGAGGGAAGTTGAGGGCGACCAGGCCTGCAGGGAAGGGCAGTTGTGGAGGACCCAGGCCTGCAGGGGAGGGTAGTTAGGGGCAAACAGGCTGGCAGGGGAACAGATAAACATCAATCAGGCTGGCAGAAGAGTGATTAGTGGGTGATCAAGCTGGCAGGCAGAAGTGGTTAGGGGCAATTAGGAAGGCAGGTAGGTGAGCAGTTGGGAGTCAGCAGTCCTGGTAGGATTGGGCCTAAAAGGGCAGTCAGACATCCCTCAAAGGGTCCCATATTGGAGAGGGTGTAGGCTGGGCTGAGGGACACGCCCCCCCCATTCACAAATTTCGTGCACCGGGCCCCCAGTTTATTAATAAAATCATAGAGGTAGAAAAAGTAATTCCTAGAATAAATGGGCTTAGAAAATATGTTACAGAGATAAAGGAAGGGTCCATGGAGCTTGGGAGTGAGAAAGCTGATGGTTATGCCCCTATGGGACAGGGGAAAATGAAGGGGGAGGGGGAAGGGAAAGAAAAGGGAAAAGCATGGGCATGCTCCCAGGAAGAAGGGCCCACTGGATCCTCTGTCCTAAGGATTTTAAAGGTGGATATTTTAGGGGAGGTTCCAGTGGAAGATCTTAATGGAATATTCAGCAGCTTTTCAGGTATGCCCTTTCATGGTCTAGGTCTCCACTGATTGATTGCCAGAACAGGGGTTCATTATTCAATGCAGTTCATCCTGAGATTGGCCTTGGTGTCACTGGTCTGTTTTCCGCTTTTCTGGGCCTGGAGCTGAAATACAACTGAGGCCTAGATATTATCTCTAGGGAGGAAAGGTCAGGGGGTCCAGACCTCATGACCAGCAACCAGAATATGCTAGGGAAAGAAAGACCACCCTGAGGGCAAGATCCGACCCTACAATTGTCCTTTGCTAGGCATCTGGGCTTTCTGCTCTGATGACCTTTTCTACTTGGACCATCATCCTTACTATGCCTAACTGTCTAACTGCCTATCACATCTCCCACCTCAAGGATCTTGGCTCTGAATTCTTTCAGAAAAAAGTGGTGCAGGATCTCTTCTTGAGGGTATTACAGATGTCTTCATTTCCCACTCACTTTTGCCCACCTCCACCTGGCTCCCTTCCCACCTCAGGCCTTCTCCACACTATTGTCTGTGTCCATGGGCCAATGCATATGAATTCATTGGTTGACCTCTTACCTCCTCCCATTTTAAACTTATCACAGAATTGGATAAACCAAATAAAATTATTCTTTGGGTTTTATTTCTTGGCAATATTGTAATATATAATTTTTTTCCTATTCATTAATTTTAGAATTAAAGCTAACCTCTTGCTTGCTTAGAGCAAGAGATTCCAGATAAATAATTTTGACCTACATAAATAATGGTAGCTCACCATGTTAATATTTGTTACTATTTTTTATATCCATATCTGGCATAGTTCTATCATTATTTTTTCTGTGACTTTTTTAATAAGTCTTTATTATTCAAATTATTATAGTTATTCCTGTTTTTTCTCCCCATAGGTCCCCTCCACCCGGTTCCCACCCTACCCCATGCCCTTACCTCCCCTCCATTGTCCTCGTCCATAGGTGTTCGATTTTTGTCCAGTCCCTTCCCATACCCCACACCTCCTTTCCCCCAAGAATTGTCAGTCTACTCCCTTTCTATGCCCCTAACTCTCATATTCACCAGTTTATTCTGTTCATCATATTTTTTCATTCACTTTATTTTTAGATTCACTTGTTGATAGATATGTATTTGTTGTCACTTTGTTATTCATAATTTTTATCTTTACCTTTTTCTTCTTCCTCCTCTTCTTAAAGAATACCCTTCAGCATGTCTGGTATTTAGCATGTCAGTAATACTGGTTTGGTGGTGATGAATTCATTTAGCTTTTTCTTGTCTGTGAAGCACTTTATCTGATCTTCAATTCTAAATAATAGCTTTGCTGGGTAGAGTAATCTTGATTGTAGGTTCTTGCTACTCATCACTTTGAATATTTCTTGTCACACCCTTCTGGCGTACATAGTTTCTGTTGAGAAATCAGCTGACAGTTGTATGGGTACTCCCTTGTAAATAACTGTTTTTCTCTTGGTGCTTTTAAGATTATCTCTTTGTCTTTTGCCCTTGGCATTTTAATTATGATGTGTCTTTTAAAAAAAAATATATATATATAGTATATATATATATGTATATATATATATATATATATATATATATAATATATATATATATATACTATATATATGTGTTTTTTTTATTGATTTTTTACAGAGAGGAAGAGAGGGATAGTTAGAAACATCGATGAGAGAGAAACATCGGTCAGCTGCCTCTTACACCCCCCCCACGGGGATGTGCCTGCAGCCAAGGTACATGTCCTTGACCAGAATCGAACCTGGGACCCTTGAGTTCGCAGGCTGACACTCTATCCACTGAGTCAAACCGGTTAGGGCTATGATGTGTCTTGATGTGATCCTCTTTGGATTCCTCTTGTTTGGAGTTCTGTGCGTTTCCTGGACTTGTAAGTCTATTTCTTTCACCAGGTGGGGGAAGTTTTCTGTCATTATTTCTTCAAGTAGGTTTTCAATATCTTGCTCTCTCTCTTTTTCTGGCACCCCCATAATTTAGATGTTGGTACACTTGAAGTTGTCCCAGAGACTTCTTATACTATCTTCATATTTTTGGATTCTTTTTGCTTTTCCAGTTGGGTGTCTTTTGCTTCTTTGTATTTCAAATTTTTTACTTGATTCTTAGGGATTTTCTAGTCTGCTGTTGGATCTCTGTATATTTTTCTTTATTTTGGTCAGTGTATGCTTAATTTCTAATGGGTGGTCCTTTTTCATATCCTTGAGTGTCTCACTAATAATCTCGGAGGTTTCTAGAAGATTCTTGAGTAACCTTATAACTGTGATTTTGAACTCTATACCCAGTAATTTGCTTTCCTCCATTTCTTTCATTTGTGACCTGTTTTTGTTTGTTTGTGTGTGTGTGTGTGTGTGTGTGTGTGTGTGTCCGTCCACATTTTGGCTGCTTCTCTGTGTTGATAGAATGGCTTTGTGTGCTAGGTGTCCTATAGGACCTAGTGGCTTAGCCTCCCCAGTCACTTGAGATGGATGCTCTTGGTGTTCCCCTTTGTAGGCTGTGAGTATAGTCTTGTTGTAGTGAAGCCTTGATTGCTGTTGGTATCACTGGAAGGAATTGACCTCCAGACCAATTGGCTGTGAGGACCAGTTGTGTCTACAGTGGGAGAACTGCTGTGCTGGAAACACCCTTATGGAGCTGGACTTGCTTCAGTGGGGCTTTGTTGCTCACTGAGTCTGCTCCCTGAGTTTCTCTTATGGATCTGAAGAGTTGTAATCTGGTTTGGTCTCACTTTGACCACTGGGTGCACTGGCTCTAGGATCTTCAAGGAGGTGCAAAGTCAACCACTGCCTGCGGCCACCCAGCAGAAGCTATAGAGAGATCTGCAGATTCCTCCTCTTAGTTTGGGGTTTAGATGTGCTCAGATGAGGCCCAGCTCTGAAGCAATGCAGGCTGCTGATGAGCATTCTTTTGGAAGCTCTGGGCTTCATTGACCCAGCTCCAGTTTGTTAGATTAGGTTGCAAAAGGTCAGGCCATTTATATGCAAACACCTGTGCACAGCTTGGGTTGGGTTGTAAATTGGGTGGGGCATGGTCTCAGGGAATCATGGGTTGGTGCAAACAGCAATGGTTGCCTGTTGGCCCTGCCCCGATAGGTCCCTGGGTCTCTGTGTCCCACGGGCCCATGCAGAAACAATGTGACCACCTCTGAGAGAAAGCTGCCCTCATGTTCCTGCCTGATGCCAGATAGTCCAGTTTCTTCCTGTATAAGTCTGGGTCTCCAGAGTCTCGCCCAGTACTGGAGTTCAAAGCAGTCAGGAGTTTGTATCTCCCTCCCAATTGAAAAAGACAGCGTACCCAGTTGCCAGCCCATTTCCACTCGCACCTCCATACCTTCGCTCTTCCTCACCTTTGCACCTCCTACCAGTCTAGATGCGCTTTTCTCTTTCTTTCTTGTTGTAGAACTTCCACTCAGCCAGCCTTCCCGTGGTTCTGGATGATATCCATTTTTTCTTTTAGTTGTAGTTTTGATGTGGTTGTGCGAGACAGCAAGTTCAGCTGTTTACCAATGCCGCCATCTTGGTTCCTCTCTTTTCTGTGACTTTCAAGATATAAAGTTCTTAGGCTGATATTTTAAAATTATCAAAAGAAATGTGTATATATTTATTTTTAAATATATTTTTATTGGTTTTAGAGAGGAAGGGAAAGGGAGAGAGAGAAACATCAATGATGGGAGAGAATTATTGATTGGCTGCCTCCTGCAAGCCTCCCACTGGGGATCGAGCCTGTAGCCCAGGCATGTGCCCTTGACCGGAATCAAACCCAGGACCCTTCAGTCTGCAGGCCGACGCTTTATCCATTGAGAAAAACCAGCTAGGATATCTATATCTGTATCTGTATCTGTATCTAGTTTAAACACTTAGATGTAACAGTTATAACACATTTCATATATAAAATTATGTTGTTTCACTTTTAGGTTATGCCTTTCGAATGTAAGACACAATACAGAGCTAAGATATAAACAGTCATAATTCTGTTCTTCATTTAGGAAGATTCCTGACCAGACGTGGGTACAGTGTGATGAATGTCTTAAATGGAGGAAGCTTCCTGGCAAGGTTGATCCATCTACATTACCTGCAAGATGGTTTTGTTACTATAATTCCCATCCAAAGTACAGGTAAGCTTGGGACTCGGTATTATGCCAGAGATAACTCCTGATTTTTCTCTATATTCTAAAACACTTTTTATCTCAAGTCTACACTCTTAAGCCTGGCATTCCAGCCTCTATGCCAACTGGTCCCCCCTTAACTATCCAGCCTTAATTTTCATTGTATCTTAAAACAAACCCTATGTTTTAGGTAGGTATGTGGCTTCAGTATTCCCCACACATGCCATGCTTATTCCCTCCTTCATGACTTTCCACATACTTACAGTGACTTAATGCATTCCATCTGCCTATCCAAATCATATCCATCTGGGATGCTTAAGTGCGTAAGAGTTTTGTGTGACACTTTATTTTCCTGTTGACAATATTTTATAGGATTTTACTTTGACTTTCTATGATATTTAATTCTTGACATTTATTCACATATCATTTTGTATTTTTTGGATATTTTTCATATGTATATACTTTGGCTCTTCAAGAAACTGTAAGCTATGAGAATAAGGGCTTTACATTTTGGTTCAAGATGATGGTTTTCTTCACATGCCTCCTATACCTGAATCTGTTGTAGTACCTACTGTACATTCAGTGCTATTTGTTTACATGTTTGTCTTTTTCATACACTCTATGTTCCTTATAGCATCTAACATTTAGATAGTGCCTGGCATTTCCATGGGCATTAATTTCAATTTAATAAATATTTTTATTTGATTCAGTAGTCACATATGTTTATGATAATAATTCAGTTTGCTTCATTTAGGCTAAGATGTAATTTTTACCCCCTCAGGATAAATGCTGTTAGAAAAAAGATACTAGGCGCTATGCTTCCCAAGAGCACACACACACCTTTCTTCCTTCTCAGGCATGAATCTCCTAAACTTTAAGGGTCCCTATGAAACTTGCAACTAGGGGAGCAATGGGCGGTGGCAGCTCATTCTGGGTTAACCCCTGAACCTGTCTCCAAGGCCCCCTTTTCTCTGACTTTCCAGTCAGCCAAAGCAGACCTGCCTAGGCTCTTTCCTGTTGCTTCTTGTTTCACTGTCCCAGCTTTAATAAATGTACTTTCAAAATAAAAATAAAGTAAAAAAGGCACTAAAACACAGTATGCCTTTTAGAAGAAAATGTTTAAAATGGAGGAAATAAAATAAATGATGTCTAGGTCTGTAATGAGTAGGTATTCCTTCATAATCTCCAGCACAGCTTCTTCTTCGTGGCTAGTAACTGAGATTGTGATTAGAATATAGGACTGAGTGCATAGAAGTCTCACTTTTTAATCCTGTATCTTCTATTGGTTTATACTTAGTCCAGGAAACATAACCTTCCAGGATATTTTGTCCCCTTATATAGCATAGGATTTCTAATTATTATTAATTTTTATTTGTTTCTAGGATTACTTTTGACCACTGAATACTTTTTCTAGTACTGTCTTCAGGTTTTTACTCCTCTAAAATTATTTTCTTTGTGCATTACAAATTGAAAATGTATGTATATATTTTCATTTATAGAACCCTCCTTTTTTTCTCTTTGCTAGTCTCTGTTCTATTCTTTTTATGATGTAAGCTCCTGGTTCCTTGTTTTTGCTTTCTATCATAGCCTTTCATTTTCTTCTTCAGGCATCACCTAGTTTAGGGATGCTTCTATACTGCATCTTGGGAATTTCTTCATAAATGATAGGCAACAGACCTAGGTTCTAGTTTCAGCAACATTCTCTTTGTATGGAACCTCAAGCAAGTCTCTTATGTGCTTGAACTTCACTGTGTAAGAATGGAGATTACGTTTTGTGCTGTCTACCATAATATGAATTTTGAAGCTGTCAAGTACTTTGAGTAGATTGGGAGAAAGGTGATATATGCACCAAAAATAATTATTATAGATGACTGCATTCCTTGAAATAAGAATTGCTACATATTAACCTACACATGGGTTTTGCAATGTGGGTGGAATCTGAGCTTTATAAGGTTAGAAGATTGTTAAGCCGCCTTGGTATAATTGTGAGGAAAGTAGACAGTAAAAGCGAAGAATACCTTTTGTTTCCAAAAGATTATTTCTTCTCTATTCTGCAGGAGATGCTCTGTCCCAGAAGAACAAGAACTCACTGATGAAGACATGTATTTGAGCAAAGCTAAGAAACAGTTGAGTATACCTAAGATAGTATTCTGTGTTATACAGTAGAGGAGACTGACTCTTCCTAATAGGGGAATTTTTAAAAGAAGGGTGCTTTTTCCTCCTCTTTTATTTTTTTAATTATTTTCCCCCTCACCTCTTTGTTATCCCAGTTTTTATTCCTTCTAATCATCTCCTGAGTTTCTCAACTAGTGGTTGTCTTTAGTCTCCCTTCCCTCCCCCTCTCTCTGTTTCATGGGGCATCTGAAATTTCTCTGCAGTAGCCATGTTCAGAAAGGTATCCTTAGAAATTCAATGAGGCCCATACTATTTCTAATTTGGAAGGAACATTAAAAGCCAAATCTACAATTGGTAATCCATTTTAGACTGAGAAGTGTCATGAGTGAACTAAATAGCACTTTTATCTTTTCCTAGAGATCAAACTGTTGAGAAGAAGAAGGTGCCCTTGGAAAAAGAGAACCACCAGGTGAGAGACAGTCCACCCTCTTCCTTTTCTGAACAAAATTTTCCCCAACAGAGGACATAGGTTGAAGGAAGCAGCAGTCTTGAAAGCTGCATTGAAATAATGAACCATTTCTTCTGGTGGTACTATTTTTTTCATTGCATCTTATTCTTTTGCTTGGATCTGCTGTTACTGATGTTCAGATCACCAAAAATAAGAGGCAAATCATTCATTTTCCAGATTTGGATTCAGTAGTGATTCTGAACAGTGTGAAGGTCACTTTCTGTGTCACAGAATTTTCAGGGTTATGTTCCATCCTCATACAGGCTGCTCCTGTTGAGTGTCTTGTTTTCCTCAGTCTCCTTTCTTCCAGGATTCAGGGGTGATTCTTCCTCCTTCCTTTTGGGAAGAAGGGTGATCCTTTGTGCCCCTCTCCCATCCCTGCTTTCAGGCTGGCTGGCTTTATAAAGACTCTGCTGTTTTGAATTTTCAGGAGCACTGTCTCTCGGACATGGTTACCCAGCTCCGGACGCTGAAGGGTGTAATAAGGTTGGCCGTCCTTTCAGGGACACTCCTTTTCTGACAGCCACCGTAGCACCCATCTATCTCCCCTCCCTCAACCTTGCCTTTCTGCATGATTTTCCTTTTGACCCTCTTTCCTAGAGATATCTACTAGTCTAGTCGCATGTTAGACTCACCTTTCACCCACTCAATCAGGGTAGGTCAGACTGGTGAGGATAGAGGCAATTTAATACTAATTCTTCTTCTGACAGTCTACTAAGACCTAGTTATATGAATATTCAGGTTTCATGCTCTGCTTAATAGTTTGATGTAGAGATTGGGAGATTTCCTGGGACTGCCCTGTCCTCATTCAGTTTACCTCACCTTTACATTCCTTCACCTTCATCATTCATACTATTTTCATAAGCTGGCTCTGCCACAAGATCCCAGATGCATGTCTCTGTGTGTGTGCACTATGAATACATGTTAATGTCTCGCATGCATTTCTCCAAATCCAGCACCGACACATGCTGCAATGCTTATTCCCTCCATCCCTGCCCTCATCACAGATCTCAGAGGAGTGAAAATCCAGCTTTAAACTGGGTCAAAAGACAGAATTAGACACTGACTAGGGGACCTGGGTTTATGTTGTGGGTGGGATGACTCTAGGAGCCAATAAGTGAGTTGGGGAGGTCTGTTGGCGGCCAGCTGATTAGGTTATAAGTGAACATGCCTGGGTTCAGTGTTCTAGTGTACATTACTGTGTGCTGTTTGTTCTGTTGTAGGAAACAGTTTCTTTTTATTTGGCTAAGTGTTCTTTCCTAGCATCAGAAGGATTGACTCATCCTTTGGTATTTAGTTTGAAATTGGAATTTTTTATGCATCATTTTTTTCTTTGCTAGGTATTCACTAATCCACTGAAGATTCCTACGATTCAAGACATGGATGAATTAAATAGCCAAACAATTGGATATGAAGAAATTGATAGCCCCAGCCAGTTTCCATCTGTTGGAGAAGAAAACAAAACACCTGCTCTTCAACTTAAGCCTCTGGATTCCAGTGTTTTCCAGTTTTCCAGGTGAGTAAAAACATAGCCTCTCTTCAATAGTAAGCCTCAGGGTTTGTAATGTAAGTTTGTATGATTATCATATTTATGTTTTTTCTTAGGCATAGCATGGAATTTAGAAGGATAAACACCATTTTGTGTTGATAGAATTGTGTGCTGCATGTATCCCAATTATTCAACATCACAACTGCTATGTCAAACCTGTCCTTTTTATTTGCTTTTTGAGGTGATCATCTGACAAATGCTTTTATGTATTGTATATTCATATTATTCTGAGAATTGTGTTTGTGGAATAATAGAGATGCAAACTCTTTGAAAAGTACTATCTGCTATACAAATATAAGCTAAAACTACAGAGATAAACATTGTTTCTTTCCTTAAGTTTAGGAATATTAAAGTCCTGTAGATCTCTATAGGCCTAGTACATGTTGGCCACATATAAAAATAACCATTAGAATTTTGTGCCATTAGGTAAGCCTTCTAGTTCTTTGTTTCCTAGAGTAAGTTATTAGTATAAATTTAGATTTTGGCTTTACTTGTTCATCTTATAGCTCATCATCAATATTATTTTGTTAGTCTTTATAACAGGAAGAAAAATACCTTTTCTTAAATATCAGAAATATTTGAAGCACTGAAAGTTATGACTGCCCCTATAATGCCACAAGACTGGAACTCAGGACTCTGATTAAAACTTACTTTCTCCCCTCTGTTATGCTTCTCATTTCTGATAGAGCCAAGCTATAGGGCAGGTAGAGTTGTTCTCTAACAGTAGAAACTTCTACAGTCATCAATAATGTAAACTTTCAACTTACCCTCTTCACTTTGGATATCTTCTTAACTTAGGATAGATGCAATGGAATACATGATACGGTAAAAGTGACTCCTGTCCCCCCCCCCCCCCCCAATGTTACTGATATTTTTCCTTGTTTCTTGTTTCTTAGGTGGGTCTTTTCAGCTTCTCATCTAGACAAACATCTCTACATGTATGCAAGTCCCCTATTCAGTGATTCTATCAAAATTAAGCCCTGTAGATATTGGAAGAACCCCATGACCCCCCCCCCACCCCCCTGAACATGAACAAAAAGTCTCAAGAGGAAGTAAGCTATTAGGAGCAAAACTTACAAAATTCTAAAGGAATTAAATGAGAACTTGTATGAAAGAATTTAGAGTTACTCACTAACTAATGATTGAATGAGTAATATGGAAAGAGCAGTTTCTAAGATTGAACTATATATTAATAGCAAGGGAGTGAGAAATATAGTCAGTATCAGGAGCTTGAGAGTAATTTTTCCTCTGTTCCCATTTGTAGTTTTCTAGCTCTCATTGTAGATTGGGAAGGTTGTACAATGAAGTGTGTGTTTTTGAAGTACTTTGTTACCTCTCTATCTCAGTCTCCTTGAAATGATCATGTATTAGAATTGCTACTGGATTATTAAGGTGTCATTGATCTTGATGGCTCTACTTTCCCTGATTGGACAAATTTCCATGTTTTGTCAGTGTTTCTTTCATTACTCTATAGTGACTTTTGGCAACCTAAGGGAGATTATAAATGCTAACCTATGTATGTGTGTATTTTATGAGTGCAGTATGTCAGTTCATCCATTAGGTGGCATACTTTATCAGTCTTTATTGATACTTTTGTATGGAACTGCCCAGAGTTGGGTTTTGACTATAGAAAACAGGTAAAATACTTTTATTCATCATGTTTAGTTTTAATTTGAGAATAATATTCTTTCAAGAGAAAGAGATACATGATAACTGATGTTGCTGCTAATGTCATGTTTTATGTAAGGTCACTAAATGATTATTATGTCACTTCATGCTACATGTATAGAGAAATTCAGTTTGATTGGACGGAGTCTGTTTTTCTTTTCTTTCTTTTTTTTTTTTAGTTTCTTTTTAATTGTTTGAAGCATTACAAATAGTAGCACATATGTCTCTTTTTTTCTCTTGACCTCCCCCCGAGTCTGCTTTTCTATAAGGGAAAGTGATGGGTGCTCAGCAGTTCAGTGAAATATACAAGGTTTTCTGATAAAACAATGTTAATGGAATTATCAATTTAGCCAAGAGTTACAAAGGTATCCTTTGTTGTTATCAAAACCTGAAGGTGATAAAGATCCTTGGGCCATGGAGTACAACTCTCCAACTCTAGATAAAATAAAGCCTTCTCTATAAAAGAAAATTTTAAAAATTCCTAGTGGGCTAGCAAGGCCTCCCAATGTGTCATTGGAAATAGTTTTATGAGTTTCACAAATCTAACAAGAGAGTGGAGCACTTGCAATAGATAATAGATTTAGCTGGTAATATGAAACAGGCATAACTTTTTAAGCTTATTTCTCTTAATGTAAATCATCCTTTACTGTTCACTCATTCTGCATATATTTGAGTGTTTACTGTATGAAAGATAGTGTTTTAAGGCAGTGATGGAGTCAAAGATGAAAGAGCTTATGATAGTCAAAGTTTTATATATAGCTATCCCCAATACATTCTAGATTTCATATAAGTAGTACAAACTGAGGTCTAAATTAGTCATAAGCATATGTACAAAGGAGATAACTAGTGGCTGAAATATATTTATATATTTAGAAAGATTTTGAGTAAGTTAAATGTCAAAAGCTAATTATTTCATGTTTAAGAGGATAACAAAAAAAATCCAAATTATATTGTAATAGTGGGAGGAAAGAAGAGACATTCTAGTATGTTTAAAGGAATATTTGAAACAACAAATAGAGACAGAAGTAAAAGAACAATTTTCCTAATGAATAAGTTGATTCAGGGGCCAGTATTAACATTTTAAAATATGTTCTTTGAGAGATACTTCCAAAATGGAGAAATGAAGAGTGTAGTGGGCATTTTCATCAACAAATAACCATTTAACTGGAAGAAGTTATTAAAACAAAACAATCATTCTAAGTTCCTGGAAATTGCCTTAGGGGCATACAGAAAATGGAGAAACATTTATTCTGTAAATTTATTAAATCTCAGAAAGAACAGCAAGAGTCTTTGGCATTTAGCCTGTTTCCATCCTCCCCCAAGCTGTGTTTTATTAAAACTACTCTAGGATCTCTAATACAAGTGGGTGAGGTCAAGAAGTTGGGGTCTTTATCTTCCCCTAGCTCCTAGTCTACAGCTATGGCTTTACTTGAGAGAATCAGGCCTCCGACAATTCTCATCTCCCCCAGTTCTCTCTTGCAGAAGCTCTATTCTAAACAGACCCAAGAAGGACTGGGTCTCTCTTCTCCTAGCTAGCTTTCTCTTCCCTCATCCAGCCCCAACTCATGGTGAAAGTACTTACCTAGGGAAGTCATGGGGCTATTATTACTCCTGACCCAGCTTGCTTGTAGGGCAGAGGTTTATACCAGAAGGAGCAAACAAAAAACCCACCTCAGCACCTATTAATATAAAAGTTTCACTCCTGGAGAAGTGGGTCACTTTCCCTATTCCCACCTCTTCCTTAGGGAGAGAGACAGGCCTTAAAGATGATGAATTCCTTAGCTCTACCTGCCAGAATGCACATTACCTATAACAGGTCATGGAGAATTCCATTCCTAAGGGCATTGTCAAAAGTAAAGGAAATTATGGTGGAGAACAATTGACAGGGTACTCATAGCTCCACAATACAAGTTACAACAAGCAAGAGTTGAGCAATTAGATGTTTAGTAACAGAGAGAACCAAGGAAAAAAGAGTAAATCACTAGAGGAATTTGAAAATATCTTGAGAAGTTAAAAATGAAAACAAAATATCCCAACACTTATGGGATAATATTTTGATCTCTCTTTCCCTTTCCCGCAGAGGGAAAATTATTAATATACAGGCTTATATTAAAATTGAAATGAGACTTCAAATTAATAACCTAAACTTCCACCTTCAGAAACTACACGAACAAGAGCACAGTAAACCCAAATCAAGCAGAAAGAAGAAAATAACAAAATCAGAATGGAAATGAAATAGAGAATAGAAAAACAATAGAGAAAATCAGTGAAACCAAAAGTTGGCTCTTTGAAAAGAACAACAGAAATTAAGAAAGCAATCGTGCTTATAGTTGTTTGAAAAATAAAATATTTAAGAATATATTTAACAAAGTGCAAGCAAAACTTTGTATAATGAAAACTACAAAATATTGTTGAATGAGGTTAAATAAGACCTAAATAAATGGAAAGACATTTCATGGTTATAGATCAGATTTAATGCTGTTAAGATGACAATATTTCCCAAATTGAGCTACAGATTCAGTGCAGTCTCTTATCAAAATATCAGCTAGCTTCTTTGCAGACAAGCACTGGATGAAGGTGACAAAAAGAAGAAGAAAATGCAAAGGAACTATGTAGTTGGAAAAGAATTCCTAGTATACAAACTCAAAATTAATCTTTACTAAATGAGTGAATACAGATTTGGAATAACAATTGATTCCTAGAGGGAAGAATCTTTACTTATAAAACTAATAAGTATTTACAGAACCAATAAGTAAAATCCATTTATTTTTATCTCCTTAAAGCAATACTTTCTTTTTTATTGGCTTTTATGTGCAAAGTTTTTGTTCCCTCATTCCCTTCTAGCACAGTTACTCAAGCTTCCTTCTGTCAAGAAGCTCATACTTTAGTACGGAACCTGTGATACATACATACACACATGCACACATACTTGCATACATATGGTAAAAAGTGATACATGTAAGAGAGGGCTAAAGTGATACAGTAATTCAAAAGTACCATTTGAGCTGGACTTAGACATGCTCTGGGAATTCAGAAGTGGCATTTGAGCTGGACTTAGATATGGAAGCAATGATTAAAGATTTCAAATAGGGGAGTGACATAATTAGAGCAATACCTTACTTAGGAAGATTAATTTGGCAGTGGGTGATCTGGAGGTGAGAGAAGGGAGCCAGGTTTGAAGGTAAAGATGAAAGATCAATTTTATACATACTGGGTGAGATATCAGTAAGACTTCCATGAAAAACAAAAGTGTAACAGGCCATTGGAAATCCAGTACTGGAGATCAGGGCTCGTGGAATGTCTTGGTAGTTACTGTTCAGAGGTTATAACCAAGAGACTGTATGATATTACCAAAGGAACAAAATTGTAGGTATAGAAGAGATTTAAGGACAGAACACTTAGAAATTGGAAAATTAAGAGAAGGAAGAAAATTTAACATTCATTGCCTTTCATAAAACTTTGTTTTCTAGCATTATTTACCCTTTTTTGTACATGCAAACTGATTGTTTCACTATCTTCCTCAGTACTTCAGCTAAATGGATCTGCAGTGGCCCTAAAAGGCATTTAAAGATGGATACATTTGTTCTTATATAGCCCCTAAATCCTTTTGCTTTCCCACTAAGGCTGATACAATAAATTATATTAAAATGGCAGACCAGTTTTATTTCTGGTGAACACTAGTTTTGAAGAACATTCAGGTTGTTACAAGAAGCTAAGGCTTGAGATGTCTTATATATGTTCTCAGATGTTGCAGAGAAATATAAGCAGCTTTTGAAATACTATGACTTGACTCTTTCTCATTAAAAATTTGAAAGTCGATCTTTACCTTGAAATTTCTTGGTTTTCTACAGAGACAGCAGAAGAGTTATAAGGATAAAAATAGGGGTCCCATCCTGCCACATGACATAAAATTGTCTATGGATTTCACTGGTGCCAGTTGTTTGTTCTTTCAACCTTTAGAGCATATAGCAGCCAGAAATGGAAGTTGATTCAGGTCACCTCCTGGGAGTGCCTGTTTACCCCAATAGAGGGGATTCTTTTGCCATAGGGAAAAATGACTTGAATTGGCTGTTTCAGTTTCTTTTTTTATGACCAGGGCCCTATGTTTCAATTAACTTTTACAAGTGAATAACAGGCAATAGCCACAATCGAGTTGGCTGGTAAAGGAATTGTATGGTGTTTGTTGCAATATAATTTAAAAAAATGTGCATAAGTCTTTGATACTGGAAGGTTTTTGTGACTCTAAAATTAACGAGCTGGCTCGGTTCTCCTCCACATATTCCCTAGGCTTTTTATGGCCTTTTTTCTTTCTTTCTGGCTTCCTCCCCCCCATTCTCATATTAGAGGATTTTGCATGTGTATTTTTGTTTGTTTTCCTTCCTTGACCTGAATTTCTGAAACTTCTAAGTCAGGCTGGTTTTAATCCTATTTTCAGAATTCTTACCAAGGTCAATCTGGTCCTGTTATATCCAGATGCTGACTCTTCATATCTTTTTATTTCCTCTCTCTCTTAAGACCAATTGCTATCTCAGCTATCTGCATAAGTGAAGTGGTAGGGATTTGGAGGTAAACTTGTATTGCTAACCTGAAATGAGCTGTAGATAACAACTAGAGTCAGTTTTAATACGGGAAATTTGAAGAGGGGCTCTATAAGATAAGAATATATTTAGCCTATTTTGACAGCTTATTCCTCTTCTTGTTACAGTAAGTACAAATGGATCCTAGGTGAGGAACCTGTGGAGAAACGAAGAAGGCTTCAGAATGAGATAACAACACCTCCTCTAGATTATTCCATGCCTGGATCTTACAGAAGGGTAGAGGCAGCTGTTGCTTACCCAGAAGGAGAGAACAGCCATGATAAATCCAGTTCTGAGAGAAGCACACCACCGTATCTTTCCCCAGAATACCCAGAAGCAAGCAAAAGTACCAATCAAAGTAGGGAGGCTTCAGTTCTGTATCCAGGAGCCCAAGAACATCAGGGGTCCCTGCTCCCTGAAGAATTAGAAGATCAGATGCCAAGATTGGTAGCAGAGGAATCTAACAGAGGTAACATAAACAAGGAAGAAGTAAACAAAGGACCTTTTGTAGCTGTTGTTGGAGTTGCAAAAGGTGTTCGAGATTCAGGAGCTCCCATTCAGCTGATCCCTTTTAACCGAGAGGAGCTTGCTGAGAGAAGAAAAGCAGCTGAATCCTGGAACCCAATGCCTTATTCTTCTGTGGCTTCTGCTACAACTCCTGCTGCAGCCGCTGGGGAGAAAGGAAGAGGCTATGAGGAGAGTGGAGGTCATAATACACCAAAGATGAAGAACCAAAGAGAGTTGGAGGAACTGAAAAGAACCACTGAAAAATTGGAACGTGTTCTGGCAGAAAGGAATTTGTTCCAGCAAAAGGTTAGGGCAGCACCTTACCACTAGGAATAAAAGATAATTGAATAATAGGCCACCAAGGGACCTGAGAGCTGGAGCTCTGATGAATTCATGTTCTGAGGCCTTTAAGCAAAATAAGCCATTGAATTATTCTGTTGTATGCTTCAGATTGAGTAAACCCTAGTGGGCTTCCCTCCTATATTTTGGGATTGAAAAGGTCCATAAGTAGAGGAATACGTACAGAGGAATCACTGAGGGAATATATTAGGGACAATTTTTGCCACTCTTGTAGCATGTGGAGTCATTGAATTTCTATTTCTTGGACTGCAGGTGGAGGAGCTGGAACAGGAGAGGAATCACTGGCATTCTGAATTCAAGAAAGTCCAACATGAATTGGTGACCTACAGTACCCAGGAAACAGAAGGCTTGTATTGGAGCAAGAAGCACATGGGTTATCGCCAAGCTGAATTCCAGATTCTGAAAGCTGAGCTGGAAAGAACCAAAGAGGAAAAGCAAGAACTAAAAGAGAAACTGAAGGAGACAGAGACACACCTGGAAGTGCTGCAGAAGGCTCAGGTCTCCTACCGGACCCCAGAGGGAGATGACCTAGAAAGGTTAATTACTAGGGTTTAGTTATCAGCTTGTGAGTGCTAATGGGAAACATCCCTTAGGACCCCAGTTACTGGTCATAAATAAGGGAGGAAGTCTAAATCAATTTATAGGCCACCAAGGACTGAGGAATTACTTCTCAGAGAGCTGCAGCCAGTCTCCCTATGCTTGGTGGCATTGTGCTTTCTTCTTTCTTTATAGCTAATGGAAACATAATTGTTGAGAAATGTAGGCCCGTTTTTAAGGAGCTTCATTTTGTTCTGTTGGCTAATGACTTCATGTCATCTCTTCTCCTGCCCCTCACTCCATCATACAGGGCTTTGGCAAAGCTTACGCGGCTGCGTATCCACGTCAGCTATCTCCTTACTTCTGTCCTCCCTCACTTGGAGCTTCGTGAGATCGGGTTTGACTCAGAACAAGTGGATGGGATCCTGTATACGGTGCTGGAGGCAAATCACATACTGGATTGAACACTAGACTATATACTCTATCTACCCCTCTCCTCTTCTCTTCTCTTCTCTTCTCTTCTCTTCTCTTCTCTTCTCTTCTCTTCTCTTCTCTTCTCTTCTCTTCTCTTCTCTTCTCTTCTCTTCTCTTCTCTTCTCTCCTTCCCTCTCCTCTCCTCTCCCCTCCCCTCCCCTCCCCTCCCCTCCCCTCCCCTCCCCTCCCCTCCCTCCCCTCCTCTCCTCTCCTCTCCTCTCCTCTCCTCTCCATCCTCTCCTCTCCATCCTCTCCTCTCCTCTCCATCCTCTCCTCTTATCCTTCCTCCCTCTCTCCTCCACTTCTCTCCCATTCTCTCTCACCTTTATGCCTTATTTAGATAATCTTTGAGTAAATCCTCACTCTTAATCAGTCTGCTGCTTATTCAGTTTGGTGTGAGGAAAGAGGCTATTTCAATAAGCTTTCAAGAGTTTCAGGAACAGAAAAGCAATAGTCATCAAACCAAGTGACCTGAAAGTGTTAACTTTCATGGCTTAGATACTTGGCCTATTTTATATCCTTTCTGAAGTGGTTTGTATTCATTTAGGTTAAATCAGTCAACAAATTTTGGGTTAATGTACTAGGTGTTTGGGGATAAATTAACAATTATAACTTATGGATTCAGTCTTCAAGGATCTAACAATCTAATTGGAAACACAAGACACACACCAAGTTAACTAACTGGTACAAGAGAGTAGTACATGCATTATAGGGAAGGTCTGGAGGAGAAAGTTCAAGGAAGGAGTCACATCAGAAATGGGACCTAAGGTTTGTTTAAAGAATGAACATGACCACACTTAACAACTGTTGTTCTTTAGATGGTAGGACTATGATTGTTAATTGTTTCTTCTTGCTATCTTCCTGCCTTTTTCAAATTTTCTATAATAAACCTGTTATTCTTCTTGCATTGGAAAAAATAAATTCTTTTAAAAAGGAATGAGTAGGTTTGGATTTAGATATCAAATGAGAGACTTGTGAAAGTATAAGTTCATTTTATAATTTACGTTGTATTTCACATTACCTCTGGAAGAATAGCATGAACAAAGGCATGGAAAAAGTTGGAATGTGAAAAATGTGTTTAGTAGGAATGATGAGTTAATGTAAAGGGATCTAATGTTAAATCGTTACCCATCTACTCACCTCCATTTGTGTTGTTTGCATTTTAATAAGGAATTCTTGGAAAATAAATCTTCAAGGCCCAAATTAAAAAATATATATATGTATCACCAACCCGGGATTTTAGGTAGTGGGAGAGCCATTTTAGGGCAGGGAGATCTATTTGACATTCCTCAGAATACACCATGCACCTACTCTTCAGGCCAGTGCTTAGTGAGGGGTAGATCTCATATTACCAGAAATAGTAAAACTTACTCTTGTAAAACTAGACATATTGTTTATTCCTTGCTTTATTGTATTTATATAGCACATACTCTCCAAAGAGTTCAAGGTACTCTTCAAAATACTTTGAACATTGAACACATAAAAAGCATAGCAACAGTGAAAACTATAAAAGCGAAATAATAAAAGGGAGGTAGGATCAAGCAATCACAAAAGGATTAACTAGTCCAGAGGAAATTTTTGGATATTTTTTGTTTCTCTTCTGCATAATTACTTCAGAAGATTCTCCCAAGCTTATTTTATCTCCTTTGAAAGATGCCCATCGTAGATATTCCAATGAGACTGCAAGGACTAGGAGGAAGCCAGAGTCGAATGTCACCATTAGAATAAGTACTCAAAATATTCCTGTCACCTTACTTTCACCTCACTGCAGCTCTAGCCTGCCACATGATTATTTCTTATGTCAGACATTTGGACTATGATGTTGAGGGCCCCAGTTATCTAAATGCTGCTCAGAGGGCAGGGGGGAGCATATTCAACCATTCTATGAACAGTAACACTTGTTCTTCAGATGGGAGCTGTGAGAACATGGGGCTTTGCACAGATATGGACAACGTGGATGAGAACGTGGTGTAGGAAAAAATTCCGATAATTGTAGGTTTTGTGTGTGTGTGTGTGTGTGTGTGTGTGTGTGTGTGTGTGTGTGTAAAAGAGAGAGATAGGCCATTGGGCTTTTTAAAAAGGTGGAAATTTTTAACTCATCTTTACTATTGTTTATTCTCAGCCCATTTCCTCATCCCAACCCCATATTGCTTCTTCCAGCAACAGTTAACTGTGTGAACCTATTTACTACAAAACCAGAGCTACCTCTTTGTTATCTATTTAGAAAGAAATCATACTATATAAAGTCCCTTTAACCAATGCTAAATGTCACGGCAGAGAGATTGAAAAAATATCACTCAGGCTTACTAGAGCTTACGAGAAACAGTGTGGAGGCAAAAGAGATTCAGAAGAAAAAGGTGGATGCTTCCTCCTTTCTATCTTGTTAGGTTAACATAATCATAATTTTTTCAAATGTCTCTATTTGCCCTTTAAATTTCCACTTCCACAGTCAACATTTAGGTTCTTATTATCTACTCTTGATTATTGAAATAGATTCTTAACTGGCCTCCCTTGCCTCTTGTTCTCACTCCTTAAATCCACCGTACTCACTATCTCAAAATTGCTTTTAATAGTGCTTCCAGTTGCCCACCAACTGTAATACAAATTCGCATCTGGATTAAACCATGCTCTCTAGACTCATCCTCCAGCATTTCAAGCAAACCATGCTCCATCCGAAATGAACTATTTGTAGGTTTCTGAACCTGCCTTAAGATTTTTGCTGTTCCATTCCCTTTGCCTGGAATGTTTTCCCTTACATCTTCCCTTTGGCTCAGATGTCAACTTTTTTCCTCTGAAAATTCCTCTAATTATCCCGCGAGATGTGACATTTTCTTTGAACATGTAAGTTTTGGATCACTTATAAGGCTCTTATTACAAACTTCCTTGTCCTGTCTTCCCTATTAGAAAGCTCCAGATTCAAATATTCACTGCCTACTTGGCATTTACATTTAGATGTCTCACAGGCATTTCAAATAAAACATGTTAAAAGTGAACAGTGACATACCCTCCCCCAGGACCGTTCCTTCTTTTAATTTTCCCCATTTGAAAAATGGCACCTCCACCCGCCTAAGCACATAAGCTAGAAACCTGGAAATCATCCCAACTTTCCTCTTCTCTAGTCCTCCACATCCAATCTTTCAGAAAGCATGTCAACTCAAACTCCAAAGTATTAGCTTGATTTCAGTCACTTTTACCACAGCTACCTTAGTCTAAACTGCTATCGTCTCCCATAGATAATTGCAACTCCTAACTGGTGTCCTTGCTTTCATTTTTGTTCCCACAGTTGTCTTACCCAGAGTGATTTTAAAAAAACACACACAAGTCCAATCACATGACTCATTGCTTAAAGCCCTTTAATGTTTTCTCATTGCACTTAGAATAAAAATCCATGCTCATTACAATATCCTAAAGACCTCCACCTACTTCTAGTTTTTCTCTTGCAGCTATTCATATCTCACTTTCCCCTTGCTCACTGTGGTCTTACTAGTGAAACATGTCAAGCTCTGACTTAACCTCAGAGTCTTTATCCATACTGTTCCCTATGCTACAATGTTTATATCTCCAGTTTTGGCATGCCAGCTATTCCTCATCCTTCAGGTCTTTGTGTGTCAACTTTCTCAGACAGATCTGCCTGGGAACCATTTTTCTCTACCTTATTCTATCACTATTTCCTATTGTGTTTTGTTCGTAGCACTTTTCACAACTTGCAATTATATATTTGGCTGTTTACTTTGACTCATTTAACAAATATTTATTGGGTATCTACTATATGTTGTATGATATACAGTGAAGAACACAACACATGTGGCCTCTGTCTGCCTCTTTCACTATTAAGTTCTATGAGGGGAAAGATCATGCCCATTTTTTTTGCCAGTCATTGTATCCTTAAGCTTATCATACTACCTGGTATATAGTAGGTAATCAATAAATAATTGTAATGATGGGAACTGTGTTTTGTTCATATCTCCGTCTCCATCAAGAGCTTAAAATAGTGCCTCATTCATAGAAGAGATTGGATACATACTGTATGAGTGAGGTATATAGCAATCCTGGACATTAAACTCTGAAAATGAAAGACTGAGACAATAAATGGCATAAGTTATGGGGGACATTCAGTGTTAGCTGGAGTGGCCTAGAGTTTCTCTTTAGCTGATCTTCCATTTGAATAATTAAGAAAGGCTACTAAAGGAGAAAGGGAATATGGTGTTCTTACAGACATTCTGAATATCATCAAAAGGAAGCTCCTAACATGCAACTTTGAAATACTGATAATTATAGAATATAATCAGGAGAAGTCTATAGAGACCAGGTCTTGAGCGTGAGAAGTAAAGGAGAAATTTCTGAGTCTTTTGTTCACTTTTTCCAAGAGCAGTGACAGTATTTTTTTTTTTCCTAGAGAAGAGGAACTTGTCCATAAGCAAACAACAGACAGAGTAAATTTCAAGGAAATAAATTTCTGGCACATGTGAGGAAGGCATTACATGCTTGAAGGATTAAAAAAAAAAAATAGCCGAAACCGGTTTGGCTCAGCGGTAGAGCGTCGTTCTGCGGACTGAAAGGTCCTAGGTTCGATTCCGGTCAAGGGCATGTACCTTGGTTGTGGGCACATCCCCAGTAGGGGCTGTGCAAGACGCAGCTGGTCGATGTTTCTCTCTCATCGATGTTTCTAGCTCTCTATCTCTCTCCCTTCCTCTCTGAAAAATCAATAAAATATATATTAAAAAAATAAAATAAAATAAAATAAGTACTAGCAGAGGACTAGATCAGAGACTTTGTGGATCCAGGAGATGGCCCTTGGACTGGAGAGTCTCAGGTTCGATTCTGGTCAAGGGCATGTATCTTGGTTGCAAACTCGATCCCTGGTGCAATCAGGGCACATTTGGGCAGCAACCAATCAATGTATCTCTCTCACATCTATGTTTCTCTTTTTCCCCCCTCTTCCTTCCTTTCTCTCTAAAAATCAATGGAAAAAGCCGAAACCGGTTTGGCTCAATGGACAGAGCGTCGGCTTGGGGACTGAAAGGTCCCAGGTTCGATTCCAGTCAAGGGCATGTACCTTGGTTGAGGGCATATCCCCAGTAGGGGGTGTGCAAGAGGCAGCTGATCGATGACTCTCTCATCGATGTTTCTAACTCTATCTCTAT